GAAGGAACCCCCCTAATAGTATAGGTAATTATTAAGGCCCCGACAGTAGGCTTTGAAGTTCTGGCCTCACACTGTCCGGAGGATTCTGCCAGCTACTGGAATTGAAACGCTACGTTAAGCTGCAACGGAGCCGGTCGACATAAAGCAAGGACACCCTTCTCCCGCCACCATGAATCTGTACCCTTACATTTCCTGAGGGCTCTGCTGTCTCCGCTACATTCAAAAGCATGTCAGATCGTAAAGCAGCCGTTCGACAGGGCGAGCAAGGAGGACACTCTTCGGCACTCCGACGGGTCCCCCTCCAGGCCCAGCTGCAAAAAACGTGGGATCGACTGCCCGCGAGCAAAGTCCGCCGCGGTCCAGCTCCGGCAGTTGCAGAGATCCAATCGGGCGCCGGCAGCGATCAGGGCCGCGGCGCCCTCGAATTGAGCCGACCGGATGGCCTGCATCAGTGGCGTGCTGCCATGCAGGTGATAAGCGATGGCCGTTAGCGCACTGGTACGGCCCCGCCGGTGTTGCCAGGACTTCGCAGCCAAATGCAACCGGCCCAGTGTACCAAAGTCACGCCGCACAATCGCCTGGAAGTCGACGTCAGCGCGGAGGGCGATCAACCGCTGCACAAACTCAGCCGTGCCGCCCCGCAACAGTGAAGCCTCGAAGAGCGTCCGAGAAAGATCCAGCGAGCCTGGCCGGCCCTGAACCACCAGCTCCTCTAGGGCCTCTGTGGCTGCCATGCCACCCGCGCAGCCCATGGTGATGTTTCCAACTAGATTATACGACAGTGGATCGGCACCCGACGCACACAGCAGTCGGATACCTTCGGCATTGTCGCGAGCGGCCGCTAGGATGACAGCCGGTGAAAATCCACCCTTGAGGTGAGCTTTCGCGGCGAGAAGCAAACGTGCGGCCTTGTGCTGCTTGAAAAAACTGCCAAATCCAATGCCGACATCCAAGGGGGAAACCCAAACATCGGCTCATCCTTCCATGTGCGCCGGTTGACCTCGGCGCGCTGTTCCAGCAGGCCTCGCAGTACCTCTACGTTGCCGCCCAGTGCTGCGTAGTGCAGAGGCCGCCACCCAGGTCGGCAGAGCCAACCGTCCTCAAGCCGTTTTGGTGTAGGAACTCCATCACCGCATCATCACCCTCACAGCTGGGTAGCAGCCCGGTCACCGGCTCAATATCAAGGCCCCGCAAGTAGATCGTCTGCAGGTTGCAATGGCGCCGGAATCCGGGCAGGTCACCCACACGCAGGCAGTGGTTCAGCTTCTGCATGAGGATCTTCCGCATAACAGGGGCAAGCTTTTTGCGATCCTGCGGAACACCGAAGTCACCTTCCCCAACGCATCCACTCGGAAAGGACACCAGTGTGCCAACCGCTTCAACAGAAGTCTCGCTTCGAATAAGAATCCAAGTACTGTTTGGCGACAGCTCCCGTGCTGCTCGTTCTAGGCGACACCACCCCCTGCTGCTCCAGGTCGCCGCTGTCAGCACCCTGCTCTCGACGGGGCAGTCGAGAACCGGACAAAGCGCAAGGAAAAAGTCGCACCTGGCGACGTAGGCTGGGATGCTGGCGATGGCGTCGGCTTGCTGGAGGTTGGAGGCTGTTTTCTCGACATCTAGCATCGGACTTGGATGGTGCTGCTGTGGACATGAGAAGTAATCGTACCAGAAGAACAGTGCTTTGGTCTGAAAGTCCTTCACAGGACGGGGCTTGGCCGTTGGCACCACTGCTTCTGTGGCGGGGTCCAAAGAAATCGACCCAGAGCTGGTCAGGATCCGCTTGACAGCATCTTGCAAAGTGCGCATCTGCCTGAACTCGGGATCTGGGTGTTCCTTCGTCAGCCACTGGTGCGAAACGAAAGCCGCTCTCCCCAAGCCGTCGCTGAAGTCCACGAGCTTGCCCCAGGCCTTGCAGCGGATGATGAAGGGCCCCAAACTAATAAGGGTACATAATATTAGGGGCCTTAATACTATACCTAAAATAAGGAGCCCCCAAAATAAACCTGGAACAGTTCTGGCTGTCCGACCTGGACATGCTGACGCTGACGGTGAGTTCGAGCCAGGGTCAGAAGGCTTTCACTACCACCCCGATTGCGCTTAGCCAAAGTTTAGAGTTTGGGGCTTGTGGCAACAATCTCACACAGCATTCTACAAGTTGCTCGTCGCAGGGTTTCCCATGTGCTACGACCGACATGAAGCCACCGACAAGTGACAAGCGCTCCCTGACTCACCTCTCACTTTCCACATGGGCTCCGGCCTTCAAATCCTCGTGCGGCTCGACCTTCGTCATCTTCAGTAGCACGTCTGCGGCGACGGTGTACATAGGGAAGAGCATTGGTGCAGCCTGAGCCATGGGATCTGCTATGATCTCCGTTTAGCTTCCGCCACCGTTGTGGCAAAGCCACCCCGAACTGAGCTCCCGGTAGGCCCTGATCAGCCAAGCTCACTGAAGCTTGGAAGAAACTTTCGTGATAACGATAAGTGTGACAGTGACAGCCATGTCGACGAAGATACCGTATCGGCGACGACGACGAGGACGACGACGAGGACGAACGAGGAGAAGCACGAAGACCAGAACGAGGACGATAATCTCACTAAGCGATGTAATCGCTAACATCGTAGCGTAGTGGTAGCCGTGATGGTAGCCCCAGCTAGAAGCACTACAATTGCTATCAGTAGTAGCAGAGGCAGAAGCAGCAGCGATTCCTGGAGCGATGGTGACAGCGGGAATACAAATACAAGTAAGAGTGGGAGTCGGAGGGGGAGGAGGAGGAGGAGGAGGAGGAGAGTTCTTCTCGTTGTTGCTGTGGCGGCAGCCGCATCAGCAGCAGCAGTGTAAAGTCAGAGCTGGTCATAGTGCGACTTTCGCATACTTGGTAGTTGTTTATCTCATACCCTTGTGGCAGCTCCAAAGCTAGATCGTCATTGCAACAAGAGGCGAGGATTGACGCAACCTTAAAACTGTGCTGGTGCGGGTGGTTTTGAACCGGAGCACAAGTCGCTTCTCTTGGCAAAAGTCTTAGAGCATGGAGGAAACTCCCTGACACCTTTTGCGCTGCCCAGTGGCGTCTGCGTGGTCGGGCAGCGACTGAGCATAGACCTCCAGAGGCGTCCGGGACTTCCCGGAGACGCAGCCATGACATGCGAAGGGCATTCTTGGAGGAACCTCACAGTGCTGTGAGAAAGCCTGGTTTAGGGTTTGGGCGAAGCAAAGAAACTCGAAGTGTGCAGAGAGCCAAACCGGCCACAACAACACTTGTTGCAAGCTGATGCCACGGACCGTGCAGACTCCAGACACTCACCTGAAACCTCCTTGCTGGGCTCCGGAGCCTCCAAGTAGACAGTTTCAGGTTTATCTGGAAACCTATCAGGTTCGGGGTTGAGGGTTTCGGGGTTTAGGGTTCAGGGATCGAGGGTTCGGGGTATACACAGGGTTTTGCGGTTTACATGTCGGTTTAAGACCTCAAGGCTTTAGAGTCTTAAGGGATTTACAGCGAGTTTATAAGGCATAGTTTCAAAATGTAAACATTTCTGGTTTTGGAGCTGTCCTTTGGGGTTTGGGGGGCCAGCCGGGCACCCAATGAACATAGTAAACAATGATTATCTAGGATAACGACATCAGCAACAATAACCATGAACATGACACTGCAGCAACAATAGGTATAGCCACAGGAATCATGCTAGCAGGAAAACAACCATAGTAATTGCAGCCATCGTTCATGATAAAGAACAACATAAACAGCAGCAGTGACAATCCCCATCAGAACAAAACACCAGCAATAGCAGTAGTTCTAGTCGTGTAAATAGCAGCACTAGCAGTAACTGTCAAAGTCCTAGTAACCGTCATGGTCAGGCTAGCAGTGGTGCTGATAGCAATACTACTGGCATGTACTGGCACTGTGGGGTATCGAGATGACGTACATCGTGACAGCAAGATTAGTAGTACGAGCAATAGGAGGCATTGTGATGCCGACAATAATCATATAAAGTCCGGTCCCGAAAAGTGAGAAGAACAGTTGCTCTAAAATCCTTCCATTCATGATTGCCCGATCCAGGGCAGGATATGAAACCCTAAACCCTAAACCCATAAACCCTAAACCTCTTGACATGAACTGCCGACGAGCCTTGAAGTTCCTGCCCGGCGCAAGGCCTGGGAAGTCCGCTGGAAGGATCTATCGGTTTAGTGGTCAGGGCCTACGATAAGGGTTTAGGGTTTAGGGGTTTGGGGATTAGGGCTGATGGGTTTAGGGGTTTAGGGTGTACGATAAAGGGCTAGGGCTTAGGGGTTCAGGGGCTTAAGGCACTTTACAAGACTCTGGCTTTCCCAAAAAGGGTCCTAAGCACCTATACTATGGGGGATACTCACCCAAACCACAATGATATCTCGAAATAGTGAAACCCTACTTTCTACCAGATTCTACCATGTAAGTACTTCTGACCCGTTGGGTGCGTATTGAAAGCATGCATCACAAAGCCAGCTGTGAGAAGACGCCTGCGCGTGGAACGTCGCAACCGGCGAGCCCAAGGGGACCTTTTTTACGTTCTGCATGGTCTGAAGCTACCCATGACGCTAAACGTTGGGATTTTCTGCGTCTTGCTCAGCTGCCATGTGAAGTCTTCTTCCCGCAGCTGCAAAAAAACCATCACGAATTCAGAATGTACGTTTAGGCCTTAGGCCTACTGCCAGCAGGCTCGAAGCAGGGATAATTTACAACTAAGAAATCCAGTTGGACACAGTGTTGTGCGGTCGTATGAGCGTGGAGCCATCTAGGGGTCCAGACAGCGAGCGGTCGCAGTTGGGTTCAGCTTAAGTACAAGTACCAAGCTCGTACTATTCAAACGCTCCTTGCATGCCGGAGCCCAACCATCGATCGCGATCCATGCTTGCCCCAAGTGATTCCACGCTTCGGAAACTACTCAATGAAGTTGAGGGAAAATACACACTTCAGCTGTGTCCTTTCACCTTCTGGAAGGCTCTGTCATTAACGTTGGAGTCGAAATCAAATTGAAAAACAGCTGGTCGATTGTGCGAGCAAAGACACCCTTCGGCACTCTGACGAGTCTCCCTCCAGGCCCAGCTGCAGAAAACGTGGGATCGACAGCCCCTGTGCAAAGTCTGCCACGGTCCACTTCCGGCAGTTGCAGATATCCAGTCTGGCACCGGCCGCGATCAGGGTCGCGGCGCCGTCGAACTGAGCCGACCGGATGGTCTGCATCAGCGGCGTGCTGCCATGCAGGTGATAAGCGATGGCAGTTAGTGCACTGGTACGGCCCCGCCGGTGTTGCCAGGACTTCACTGCAAGGAGCAGCCGGCCCAGTCTGCTCCAGTCCCGCGGCAAGTCCAGCTGGTAGTTAACGTCGGCACGGAGGGTGATCAATCGCTGCACTAGTTCAGCCGATCCGCCCCGAAACATGGTGGCGTCGAAGAGGGCCCGAGAAAGATCCATCGAGCTTGGGCGTCCCTGCACCAACAATTCTTCCAGGGCTTCTGCAGATGCAATAGCAGCTGCCGTCGCGAAGGTGGGGTTTCCCAGTAGGTTCTGCGACAGTGGCACGGCACCCATCGCACACACCAGTCGGATGCCTTCCGCATTGTCTCCGCCGGCTGCATGCATGACCGCCGGTGAAACTCCACCAACAAGGTGGGCTCTCGCCCCAAGAAGCAAGCGTGTGGCCTCATGATGCCTGTAGAACAGTGACAGGTCCAATGCCGACATCCAAGGCGGAAAGCCCAGCATCGGCTCGTCCTTCCACGTGCGCCAGTTCACTTGGGCGCGCTGTTCCAGCAGGCCTTTCAGCACCTCTATGTTGCCGGCCAGTGCCGCATAGTGCAGGGGCCGCCACCCAGCGCTGTCTACCTCCCCGACCCTCCTCAGACCGTTTTGGTGTAGGAACTCGGCCACCACATCATCACCACGCTCACACCGGGGTAGCAGGCCGTTCACCGGGGCAATCTCAAGGCCCCGCAAGTACATCATCCGGAGGTTGAAGTTGCGCCGGAATCCGGGCAGGTCACCCACACGCAGGCAGTGGTTCAGCTTCTGCATGAGGATCTTCCGCATCACCGGAGCTAGCCTTTTCCTATCCTGTGGGACACCGAAGTCGCCTTCCCCAACGGAGCCACTCGGAAAGGACATCAGCGTGCCAACAGTTTCAATGGAGGTCTCGCTTCGAATAAGAATCCAAGTACTGTTTGGCGACAGCTCCCGTGCTGCTCGTTCTAGGCGACACCACCCCCTGCTGCTCCAGGTCGCTGCTGTCAGCACCCTGCTCTCGACAGGGACGTCGAGAACCGGACACAGCGCAAGGAAAAAGTCGCACCTGGCGACGTAGGCTGGGATGCTGGTGATGGCGTCGGCTTGCTGGATGCGGCTGTCTGTCCTCTGTACGGCATCTTCAACTGGTGTCGCATGATGTAACTGCGGGCACGAGAAGTAGTCGTACCAGAAGAACAGTGCATTGGTCTGAAAATCTTTCACAGGACGGGGCTTGGCCGTTGGCACCACTGCTTCTGTGGCGGGGTCTAAGGAAATCGCCCCAGAGCTGGTCAGGATCCGCTTGACAGCATCTTGCAAAGTGCGCATCTGCTGAAAGTCTGGATCGGGGTGTTGTTTCGTTAGCCACTGGTGTGAAACGAAAGCTGCTCTCCCCAAGTCGTCGCTGAAGTCCACGAGTTGGCCCCGGGCCTTGAAGCAGGATGGATGAAGGCCCCAGTTCTGGCTGTCTAGCAGTCTGGCATTTAGTGACTTTAGTGGCTCGAATTAAGAGAAGGCGTAGAGTTTAGAGTTCGGGATCTGGACATGCCCATATCTTCTGCAAGTTGCTCGTCAACGGGGTTCCCACGCGCTACGACACATATGCTCCCCGACCAAACTCTCATTTGTCAATTTGCCTCCTGCCTTCAACTTCTCGTATGGTTCGACCTTTGTCATCTTCAGGAGCACGTCTGCGGCGACGGTGTACATGGGGAAGAGCATCGGGGCAGCCTGAGCCATTTCCGATGGTGGCAAATGTGGCAAGTGCCAACCACCCACCGCCACACGACCAACTGATGATTGTAGCGATGGTGCACAAAACGAAACACTGATAAGGGTGATGGCAATCACAGCCGTCAGACGAAGATACTGAACAGCCGCGACCAGGACAACGACCACGGCCACAGTGGCAATGGGTGCGACAGTGACGAGAACGAGTGGCGATGATCATGGCGACGACGACGACAACGACGACGACGAGAACACACACTTAACTAATCATGAATTCTCAAAAACCCGTGGTAGTACTCAGAGCAATGGCAGCGCGAGGTGCTTTGCAGTTACCGAAAGTAGTAGCAGAAGCAGCAGGGGCAACAGCCGCCGCTGGCAGCACTACTCCCCACAGTAGGAGTTAATTGCAGGGCAATCTCTGATTCCAAGACACAGTGATGATAACGCTTCTTTTGTGTCTTGAGCCAAATATCGGTGATAACGTCTTCGAGTGAAACTGCTTCAAGATGATCTACATAAGAAGGGCCTGGGGGCTCGTGATTTCTCAACTCCCCCCTTGTAGACAGCGTGAAACAGTTACTTACAGGAAACTAGTTCTACTGCGCGGCACTCGGAAACCTAACTCGTCTAACAACTGCGCTTCAGGCGGTTTCAGTTCAGCTGGTGCTCGAGGCGTAAACGCGACTAGCACGACACGGGACTGAAGTGGCCCTTCCCATGGCACAGTGCAGTGTCTAACAGACGGCTGGAAGAGTGCAGGCAGTTCTTCAATGCGACCTGGGCTATTGCAATCACGCTGTGGGCATTGTTGCTCACCAAGTGGATCCTGGACCCATATCTGACCACCCTTTACCTTGGTTAACGGGTAGACGAAGTTGTACGATCCTGGATCGTTGTACTTGTCAGTGTGCAAGTCAAACTGACAACCTTGGTAAATCGCTACAGCAGTGAAGGTTAGGTTCTTGGCCTGTTGCCGAACGAACCTTGTGAGGACACGCGTAACCCCCCTGAACTTGGACGTATTGCTCCTTAACCCTACTATGCCACCTCCATGTGCATACGCTCCGGTTGTAAATCCCTTACCCTCGGAAGAGACAACTGGGCGAGACGAAGAATCTGGAGGAAGAAGGTGGAACAGCTGCAGAATATGATTTTCTGTCAGTCTGTGTGGCAGGATGCCGGCAACAGACTCAGGATCAGTATCTGCAAGAGGATCTTCAGGAACGAAGTTCTGTGATGGAGCAGCAGGTATCGGGGCATTTGCGGAACCCTCAGACAGGCAAAGCTGTTCCAGCATGGATGGCCACTCTTGGGGGCTAATCACTTTCGTGAACCCATTTGCTCGTTGCTCCGTCGTAGGGCAAAAGGTTATCTCGACGTGCGGCTCTGCGAGTCTCTCACAGATAGACGCTACGTTGACCCTGTGCACCCTAGGCATGTGGCGGAGTTTAGCAGAATAGCCTGCCTTAAGAATGGAAATCACGGTATTATTGTCTTGCCTATAAAACACCGGGATCTCAAACCCAAGGATATCGCCTAAATATTCTTGAAGGTTTTCTACCTCTGAGAACATGGCGGTCGCAAGAGAGATCGTTTCGGCCTCGGTCGTGGACCGAGCTGTGGAGGACTGCTTACGCGATACCCAGTGGAGTGGATACGCGCAGTCTCCGGTCTTTGCAACGACGAGGATTCCAGTCGTGCTTTTCGCTGACAGAGGGCAAGAAGCAAAGTCTGCGTCAGTATACACCTCTATCTGGCAACCCAAGTCCTGTTGCGAAACAGACCCTTTTAAAGTCACACGACTTGAGTGATGGAGATACGACACACAACGCAGTAGTTGACGGTCGTCGAATCTATCCCATCGACTCACTTTAGAAGCTAACCTCGTGATTATGAACGAGATGTCTGGGCGAGCAAGTCTGCTGAGCCAGAGGGCTCGCATCAGGATGCGGGAGGCGGATCCGTGTAACTCACCGGTGCTGTTAAGCTCGCTGTCAGTTGCTTGGTTCTCGGGGAAAGCAGGTGACGCTACTTTGCGAAGCTTACTTTTCTCTACACCGGTCATTTCACAATAGAAATCAACAAGTTGCTGCGTGTAAGCAATCATGTCAAATTCACAAGTGGCTACTGAGTCATCACGCGTGAAACTGTGATGCCGCCCTAGAATCCTACAACCATTATTGCCGCCTTGAACAAAAACCTCTGGTTCAAGTTTCACAAGACCACGGAGCTTATGCCAGAACTGGGAATGAAGCTCTACGGGTCCGCTTAAAGTCAAGTCGTCGACGTAGACATTAAGCACTAACTTCTGGGAACCGAACTCGAAAACCCAAGTGCTAGGGTAGGCGGGAAGTTCGCGACCTCCGAGCCTTTTCAACTGAACGGTTAAGTGGTCTTGCCATCTCTTACCCGATTCTGGGTGCCCGTATAGGCTTTTCTCAAGTTTAACTACAAGACGGCTGTCGGGAGGGAACCTCTGGGTCCACTCGGGGAGCCAGAGCTCCCGAGGGATTATTACCCAGGTCTCTCGACCGATCTTCGCTTGCAAGTATGCTTGGATAGCATCTGCCACAGAGGTCGCGTGACCGGGGCGGAGCCCGTAAAAGAGGCAAGCGGCAAGACCTACCAACCCGGTTGGTGTAGTTGCAGTTTCTTCTGAGCCGAACAGCACTGGGTTACCAGAAGCGTCGCGCACTTGGTCCCCCCTAAAGACTACACGGCCTTTGTACTTGTGCTGTGTTGGGTGCAACTCAAAGTGCTTTACACCACAAAGCGTCAGAAGTTCAGCGATTTGGACTCGGCGTCCAGTGTTGCGGCAATCCTGTTTCAGTTGCCACAAATGCATTACGGAATCGTCGCTCCATGTCTGGTTTGAGCGGAGTCCTACACCCTCAGCCTGAACAGCCTCTAAACCTCGAGCATCCTTCAACCATTCGCTCTTAGCAAGATTGCGTGTCACTAACGCATTACTTGACGACAACGAAGGTGTGTGGCGATGGAAGTGCTCGGGGAAGAATGACTCGACTATCAGCTGAGCGACTTGTGAGTTGTAGTCGCTATTGGCATAGGAATCGTCTCCTTTCGACACACTTTGCGAAGTGGACTGGCTGTGCTCGTGTTGTCCAAACAGCTGGAGCACTCGAAGAGAAGTGGTGCTGATGCACGACCGCTTACCAGAGGAGCATCCGCTGAGCATTACTCTTTTCAAGTTCGCGCGCTTCTCGAACTCAATCCAATCAGACTCGTTCCAGAGCCAACCCCCTTCTGGGAAGTCGACTGCAACATGGCAGCCGTTGGAAAGCTTTTCTTCGGCTAGCGAGATTGCGAGTTTCAGCATTTGGCGACACTTCGCCCGGCTCTTTCTGAGCTGTGCTTTCTTACTCGCTCTATGTTCGTGCACAGTTGGGTGTTGTTGTGCTGTTTGTTCAAGGCATAACATAGGCATCCAGATCACAGCGCCTTGCTTTATCTGACCTTTGGCCTGATCAACATGAGCTGGGTCTGAGAAGTCTATCGTTGAAGATCCTATGTTAAGACAATCAACCCCGTACATCGTGCAGGCAAAACCAATCTCGGAGGAGTCGCTGCAGCAGTACTCGACAAGTTGGTTTGTACTCGAAGCCTTAGACCTACGGATCTGGCGATCTCGGGCTACAAAGCTGACATCTGGAACGAACAACTCCTGATTTACCAATGCTCCTAACCCTCCACCAAAGTCGTCGGAATCCTCGTCCGGATGAGCGGGTGATCTTTCTGCAGCATCGGGCGCTATCTCTGCCGGAGGATCGGGACTAAGAGGTGCAGGAGGAGGAACTGGCGTTGGAGGAATACTGACTGGTGTCGGAGGTACCGATTTGATACGGGCCTCGGCGGTTTTGTCGGCACGCACTAACCCATCAAAGCGAACCTTGCACACTGGAGAATGAACCACAGCTTCGCCTTTGCAAGCCTTGCATCCCGGGGTTATCCCGTATTTTATTATACGATCAAGAGTGATATACTCGTGCCGCTTTGCTGGCGTAGAGTCGGGGCCAAGTGGGCTGAACGGCACTTCTAAACCCTTAATGTCCGGAAACTTAGGTTCAGTGAATCCCTCGACCGCACGCTCGAAAGCGGCGCGCATCGGGAAAATCTCTTCACCCTCGGGGACAAACAACTCTTCAAAGGGCACCGAAATTGCAAGATCGTATCCAGGAGTACCGTCTTTGGTTTTCCGGTAATCTAAAACAAGGTAGACCCCTCTAAAGGACTCCGGCCCTGAATCTAACCGATAACCACAAAACAAAGCTGGTGCGGCGGAAGGTTCAAACTTCTCTCGGTGTTTGGGATCAGTCCTGTAGTACACGAGCTGACCTAGAAGTAGAAGACGCCCGGGGAACTCCTCACCGGTGGCGGCTACGTAACGGGACTCCTTACGGTCGGCAATGCTGTGCTTAAGGTTCAACACAAACGTTGCAAATACCGCCGAATGAGCCCAAAGACCAGGTCTTATTGCAAAACCGGCTTGTAAATGTACCGCGCGGGTGACCTCTTGGATCGACCTGATGTCCCGCTCGAGAACAGAATTATGCGGCCAACGATTAGCTAATGTGGGCTCAGAGACCCAAGACATTTGCTGGCAAGCCGATTCAAGTTCTTTCGCGTTGTCTGACTTGAACATGACGACAGGCTTCGACTCCGCGTGCTTACCGGAAAATTGCAAAAGTGCTCTGACTACGTTTTCTGTTGTGCGCCTGACTAGGGGAAAGGAGCGCAAGTAGCCAGAGAATTCATCGCGCACTACAAGCAAGGTCGATTCACGATCCTCTTTGGAAGACTCCTTGAACACGACTACGATGTCCGCCGCGACGCGTTCACTGAACGCAGTGGTTGGCTCTAGCGAACCGCGATCATGCAGCGGGTCATGTCTAAGTTTGTTTGTCTTCCTAGCGTACATTCTGGCCTGTGTACATATTTTACAGGCTGGGTTCTTAGGGAAATGGGCTAATCTGTGTTCACAA